ATCCCACAACCATGTAAAGTATGTGGTTGGGAGACTAAATCGAGCGTTCAGCTCTGTGTCCCATGTGGTCAAGGTAAGGAAAGAGCATATATATACTATAAACGGAAGTATGCAGAAGGAAATTAAACATATCAATTTCATAAGTACTAATCAACTATTATCAGTTTCATAAATATTAATTTCAAGAATTAGTAATCAAGAATCGGTCACTCCTAATGAAGTACTCAACCTTCTAACGGGACGTTGGATCAAAACTAATGGTAAGCTATTCCAGAAGCTGATCCGCGAAGGTTATAGATGCGCTAATAGACTTTCAGATTATTTGGAAGATATTGGAACTATATCTGTTGGTGAATTCGAATTAGATCCTTTAGCTGACTTTTACCACTCAGCCTTAATTCTGCCCTTATCTACCTTAGCAGAAAGAGCAGATATTCGTAAAAACTTCATTATTAGCGTGGAATCCGTCGTTGTGGAAGGAGTGAGTTTATTTACCCTCGAAAAAAATAAACGTTCCTCACTTCAGAATTTAATACAAAAGAATTACAGTAACTTGTCTGTATTAATAGGAATTACTTGGGAGCGTGAAGAGACGAAAGCTTGGAGGGATAACTTACTCGTGAAATTTCTTCATCACTCAAATTTAGCTCCTGCGAAGTATAGACCAGAGGCCTTATATGATGCGTTTTCTAGAACGAATGTTCTGGGACCTGAGCATATCTTAACTCTAGCACAAACATTTTACTAAATATTACTATAGCATTTTAGAGACCTTGAAGAGGCGGGAGTAAAGATGGGAACTGTAATTAATATGTTGCAACTTTTAATGTTGCAACTTACGTTGCAATTAGTTTTAACCTATATATGTTGCAACTTATAATGTTGCAACATATGTTGCAACTAATTTTAGCTTATGTTGCAACATTTTGTAAATTTGAAATCAATTGCTGTACCATCTTTAGGCGGGAGGACTGTTTAATCAGTCTGATCATTCATAGCCTTGGAATGAGGGTTCCATGACTATATACTCCGTGGCTGAGGCCTATTTTTTGCGCTTATTCTATCTACCTGTAAATTTCAAATCGATGTAGCATGCCAAAAATTTATCGTCGACTCCCCTATTAATAAAAAATTTTTCTTGGCAATTTTCAATGACGGCCCGTCATGCAAATTTAATAATAGAATGTATATATACTAACGGACTTTTGAATATTTCATATCTTCTATAAGAATATTATCGATCATGTCATCTGAGCTTTAATTATTGAGACAGCGTATCATCGATCTTGAGGCTGAGAATGCGAAGTTGAGACAGATTATTGAGGAGAATACCAAACGTGATGCTGAGAATGCCGAACACAAGGTTAGAATTGAGGAATTGGAGAAAAATAGTGCAGATATTTCAGCCGAGAATGCTGAGCTTAAAGCTGAATTAGCCAAATTAAGATATGATTTCGAGGAGTCAAAGATGAGCCGGCTTGGCTATGCTTCCTCCTCTAACCTCACTAGGCCTCAGCAATCCCAACATGTTACTAATATGCAGAACTCATGCTCTGTTGGAGAAGAAGATATATGTTTGGTACCACAGTCAGATGCTAAGCCCGAGAGGCACTTAGCTTCGAATGATATACCTGATCCTGTAATAGACCAGTGTGTTAGTATAACTAAACAGCACGTAGCTGATAACTCAAACATCAAGTCAATGGAAGAAAGGGATACAGATACTTTCTTAGATGAGGCGTATAAGAAAAAAGTTAGTGATGAGATTAGGCAGAGGAATGAGGAAAAGAAATTATTGCGTGAATCGGCTACCCAGGACTTGTCTGGAGTCTCTAATGAGACCACCTCTTCTGTAACGAAGGATGAAAAATCTAAATCACATAAGAAGAGGAAAACGGAGAATATTGTACAGGATGTGTTTGATTTCACAGCCACTTCAGCACATGAGAAAAATCATATGACTGAAATTTCCATGACGGCCCATCACGAAAAATCTGATACGGATAATCCCCCAAATGTATTGCAAAATCTAGCCTGCTTAATACAAGAAGTATGGGATGCGAAAGATGAAGCGATTCGAGCTAATCAAAAAGAATTATTGTGTTGGTGTTCCTATATTATAGAATTCGATAAAAAGACTGTAGAGTTTATGAACGAGTATAAAGTTGGCAAAAAAAAAAGCAAAAGGTATGATTTATGACGATCTTATTAAACTCCTTCCTACTGGTACTAAACGTAACACAATACTAAAACAAACTCAGAGAGCAAGAAGCATATACAAATTATTTGAGAAAATAGGAATTGACAAAATCAAATATATCACAACGTATAGCGCGAATTCTATATCAGAATTATCTGATAGTCAAATTCAAACTATTATTGATTATTTCTCTGAAAATCCCAACACTGAATTACCAGATGGAGTCCCTTTGGGTCCTGATCAGGATGGTCCTTTTATAGATTCTGAAGAGGATATTTCGAATGATCAGGATAATATATTGGAGGAGCAAGCAAAACCCCTGGTTTCAGCAACGTTGGCTGAGGTAAGTACATCGGCAAATGTATTATCTTCACCTCAATCTAAACCAACTTATGACCGCACCTATTTTCGCAACAAGACATTGGACCAATATCCTACTTTATTTAGAGAATTTAGTAGTGAAAATTTCGATTATTATGGAATTAATGACAAGACATTATGCGATCCCTCTGGGATCTGCCCATTATGCAAGTTAGATCATGATGATGAGGAAGGTATAGATGGTAGATATGAAGCCAGATCCTATTTTATTAAATGTGAACAGCGCGAAATTGAGATAGTTGCATAGTCTGGATCTCTGAGACTGCTCATGTTTCATTGTGATATTTTTTTAGCACCAATTTGCAGTATGTCAACTATTACCTAATTTAAATTGATCTGTAATCATAGGAAACATGAACGAATCCAATAAAATATTAACTCCCGAATATTTGGATTGGCATGCCAAATTAACTGGGTTACCACGTGTTTTGACAGATAGGATTCGATCCAGCTTATACAAAAGATATAAAAAAGAAACTAAAAATGAGCCATGGCAATTATCAGAAGCGCATGCATCAAAAGGTCACCTCATAAATTCGAAGCCAGAAAACAAAGTGTCCTATTTATCTTCTTCTGAGCAATGTGAAGAAAAAGGGCCTATCACCTTCGAAGCCAGACCCGAACCAGAATTAATTATCAAATCTGTCTTAGAGCACTTCCCATACTTGAAATTCCGAAATAGTTTTAGAGGGATTGATAATTATAATTTTGCATTTGCTCAGCCGTGGAGCTCACCATGCCCTATTTGTAATGGAAAACATGGGAATTATGGATTACATGGCGAATGGTATGGAACAGAATATTGTCTTACTTGCTTCACTTCAAGCAATAAATTCAAATTTGCGATAGTAGCATAGAGAACTTCGTCATGTGAGATCGATCACCTGAAATACGCAGTATGATATTCTTACCGAATGCTTTCATTTCTTCCGAAGTTTTGCAAATACAAAAATAGGGCATCGTACCGCAATATGAAAAAAGTGTCGGTGAAAAAACAATTCGTACGAAGCATTGCGCAATTAAAGTGGGAGTACTCCGGTTGTGACTATGCATTTCAATGAAGCGACTCAGGATTACAAGCTAATGGTATTTTTCATTCTGGGATTTTTTGAGGATCACGAAGGCACAATTGAAACAGATTATGGAATTAATGATAGGATATTGTATTAGTACAATGTATAGGATAATCCTTGTCATATATCACAGATTAGCTCTCGATTCTTGTAATTTATTTTTGTATAGATCACAGTATCTACAGTTATTAGCTATAACTTATTTATAACCATAGTATAGCATTTGTTCTCGAACTTTCCCGCATGTACTCAATGAAATTTATTAATAAAAACTCTCCCTGACGATCAGGGAGAGGCCGTTGATCAGATTTTCGTGATGTAATCATATTAACGTAATTTCCCCAAAAATGTATTCCAAAATCGATCCTGGAAATTATATAAAAAGGTGATGTCCCTGTTAGTGAATCCTTTTATCTGTCTTGCGCAAGTAAAACAAAAAAATTCAAACCAATAAAGCTTACCATTATTATTAAAATCATTGATATTAACAATCAAACGAACTTGTATTTTCCGTAAAGTATTAGAAGGTATGTTGGTTTTATTGCTCGGCTGGCTTCTTGAAACATGTCATCACGATCTTAATCGATTTTCCGCTATAGATGTTTCATAATAAAACGGACATATTGCTCTTCTTGTTATATATTGGCATTTTGATCTTTGCCGAGAAAATCACTGACCATCATCACGCGTACAATAGACGCAGTGAAATTACTCGCATGAATCTCGCCACATGCAACGGCACAGCAAAAGTCTGGCACAGTATATCATCCGGCATAAGCATCTTCACGTGCCGAATTCTTGAAACTTTGCGCAGTATCATTTGGGCGATAATGCAGAAAAAATTAAGCAAAAATACCTTGTGTATGAGGCAGAATGGAATTATGTGAAAATGAATCGTGATGGTAAGTGTAAATCGTTATTATATTACTTTTTTTACCTCAGTTGCTAACACTTCCGTAATTTTACTATAGATTCGAAATTTCTTAATCTCAGAGAAGTTCTCTTTTGAGGAATAATGTTTTATATAGTCTGTGTGTTTGAGAGAGAGAGACAAAAATTCTGTAAATATGGGTGGGATAATTTATTTCGGAAATCTAAAAATTGAAACGCGATATCACGTGATGGGAGTGACATTAAATATCACACCTATTAGATCGAACAGGGGGACATGCGTAAGTGACATAATTTTAGGGGGTTCATGATACATTTTCAAAAAAGAAATAAAAGTGATGTTTGTGATGTAACATGATCGTGAATCATTCTTTAGAAAATTTCTTTAATACGTAATTTCTTTAAAACATAATTTTCGCTAGAAATTTTCCTGGTCTATACTTGTAAAGAACGCAATGGCAGACTCTACTTCTCCTACTTCTACGCTAGTTGGTCTCCACCATGAGGTTAGAACTTTAGTGGTTATGAAAAAAAAAATCAATATCAGTATACTCATTTCCCTCTTTTAGAAATACTGGGACCGTGACCCAAATTCATGGGGAAACTTAAACGATTGGGATATTTATTTTATCGAAAACGTGACTGGATGTACAAGACGGGATCCCATAGAGCATTGAATTTCGAGCTCGATATCCTTCTTGAGGGTTTGCCAGTTGATAGCCGTGATTATTCCAAGGCATCTATTATGAAAAAGTCTCTAGAGGTAGTGCATTCTTTTTTATCATGCTTTATCATAGGAGCACATTACCATGCCCTGCAAATGTTTTTGAGCGATTTTTTCGCACAAGGCAAAATGTTTTTTGCCCGAAGTGGGAAGTATATTATGGTCTGGGCCTTTAGGCTCCATTATAATATGCGCAGGTAGCTCCATTGATATTATATTTCGTCTATGACCGTGCCCTGCAAATGTTTTTGAGCGATTTTTTCGCACAAGGCAAAATGTTTTTTGCCCGAAGTGGGAAGTATATTATGGTCTGGACCTTTAGGTCCCATTATAATATGCGTGGCTAGACAGGCAGTTGATAGGTCATTGGTGAATGAAGTTTTTGGTCTGTACTAATACTATTTTTTCTATGTTTCCTTCAAGAATTGTCAGAATGACCCCGGAAACAAGTCGTTATGGTGTAATCATCTCCCGAAATTGGGAACACTAGCTGTCATGGACCGAGTAAATAAAGTATGTTAACTTTAGTCTTCTTATATGTATGTCATTACATAATTTTACGATTTTCTTTTAATTGGTTATTATTATTAGCGCGAAATTCGAAGCATCGCCGTACAAGAAGAGACAGAGAGATACAAAAATGAGCAAGCGTCAAAATTTTCAGGAAGAGAGGGTACATCAGAAAAGAAATCAAAAAAACGTAAAGTTACTGCGAGTAAAAATGAAATGCTCTCTAGTGACAACAATGATGAAGATGACGAAGAAATTAAAATTGACTTAAAAAGAATTTCGGATGAATTGCTACGCGAACCGGAAGTCAAAGTATGCTACGTGATAAAATTCTGACTTCCTTTTTATTTCGTGTATCTCAAAGTTTGCTTCCATTATTTAGTGGGAAGTAGGTTGCATTAATGTAACTGATCAATTTCGGCGGTACCAAAAAGAAATTATTGAGAAGGCGGAAAAAAACGGATTAAAATACGATAATATTTACGAGTTATTGTATGTATTCTAAACATTGTATCATTTGGCTAGCATAGCAATCATATCAGGATATATATTAAGTCCTCGCTATATTTTAGAGCTTTGTCTTCGATAATAGTGCTCAGCTGTCCATGTCCGTATCCCACCATGTTTACGATCGCAGAATGGCAAGAAATAACAAGAACTAACCCCTATACACCTCAAGATTCTCCACTTACTCAAGATATTTTATTATCTTTACATGATGCCTCATTCAACCATTTTCTTGGATTAGATTCATTCGTGGAAAATGGCGAATCGAAGTTGAGTAAAATAGTCGCGCGCTCATTCAATGACATGTAAGTTATATAATTTTATAATGCATACATGAAATTATGGCTTATATTGTTCTTTTTTTGACATTATAGATATGATAGTGTCATGAAAGTTGCTCCACTAAAGATGTCTGAGGAAGAACATTGTTTAAATTTTGTTTATCCGTTAGCTCGCCCATTTTTTTCAGGCGAAAAAGAATATGAGCTAATATTGAACCGTGCAAATACAGGTACAAAGAAAAGGCCGGACCTCTCTTGCGTTGTGGATGGCGTGCCAATTTTAAATTCGGAGTTCAAACCCTTAGGATGTACGCCATTACAACGAGGGAAAGACAGAGTGAAAGTTCAATTAAGGGCCCGAAAATCAGTCAATCAACAATTACTAAGCAAGGGAGGTCCAGGTAAAGTCTCTATCTTCTTAAATCTCGGTAAGTAACGAGTGATTATATGAAAAATGTTTTTTTTTGATATAAATTGAATTATTTGATAACCAGGTGACTTGATGGAGTCTTACTTTATGGATTTGGAATACGATGGCTTATATCGCTCATGGCCATTTCTTACGACCAGACTTGTAATAGATAAAACCACAATCCCACTTGCAGGAGTCGCAATTCACCATTTGTTGGCTTTAGAGGTATATGATTCGTTTTCTTTGAGTTTACTTTGAGAAATTTTGTTTAATTCATTTCCATACCTTTCATTTGCCCTTTACAATGGTAGGAGCGTGTTGAAAAGATTTCTAAGGACTTTAAATATCGAAAATCTCGTAGTGGGGAAACTACACCGCTTCAACAATTATCATTTATACGTACACTACCAGATTCTCCACAAGTAAAGCAATTAATTCATTAGACGGAAATTTTTCTTTAGTTTGTGAATTTTATTTGGTTGACATTCACCTGTCTTGCAGATAAGCGTGGTCTGGTATTTATGCTGGATGTTCGTGCTGATTTCATTTATTACTGTCAATCATTCATAAGCATTTATTTGTGTATGTTGGCTTGTTATTGAAATTATTTTTATATTACTGTACTTGATAATAACAAAAGTGATGGGTTCACGTGTAATTATGCAATGTTTATGTGATATATTACAATATATTTTGTATTGGTTCATGTTTTCTACTGACATATCATTCCAACCTGCATCCCTGATCGTTAAGTTATAATGAAACGAAAACAAAGGTAATTATTCTATCGGCCCAACAGATAAACAGTGTACTTTATTCGAAAAGGATTTTGTTGAAACATTATTGATAATATGGGTATATGAAAAGCGACTCATATCTTCTCCACCAAGATCATCATCAGTTCATCACCACCAAAAATGAAAAAAAGAAAGTCTATAAAATTCGAAAAAAAATAATCTAATTGTTATTTGTATTATTGTTTCAATAAAGTGCCCTGGTGGCCGATTATTATTTTTACATATTCTCTGTATTTTTTTTCGTGTGGGATATGCACCGGAAAATAAAAAATTTCTTGGCAAATTTCAGCCGGGGCGCCCCTGTCAAAATCACATGATTTTTTATTTTTGAATATTAACATATCAGTAAAGCATAAATACCACTACATCACGCAAGCATGCAATCAGAAATAGAAGAGATCGATTCATCGAAAATATGCATTACCAGGATCAAGGTCGAGAATGATATAATTAAGGCAGAGAATGATAAAATTAAGGCTGAGAATGTCAAACTTAAGGCCAGAATTGCGAAATTGGAAGATAAGCAAACACAGAACGAATTAATAAAAAATTTGCTATCTACACCATATGATAAAAACCGTTAAGATCTACTGGTGACCACTGATCATACGATCAGAGCCTAGCTAATCCTCTACCAGATGTGACGCAATTCGTGATATTGGCACGTAAAGAATATAGTAGTACCACTATAGTCTATAGATGAATTTTGCATGCAAACTTTTTTTGCGCAAACCTATATCTAATAAATGTTCCATTCTGACTATAAACATATTATTGATAGACTATCCGAAAGTCTTGTCAAGAGAGCTTGCCAGAGACTCTTGCACCATTCTAAAAATCCTGTCACATTAGAAGCTATTTCCAAGAAGTCTGAACGAATTGAATCTTATTTGAGGCATACATTAGAGGTTTATGAGAATTCGTTAAATAGGAGATGCAAGAATATGACTCAGGAAAAAACATTACGCCCTCGAAGCTGGCCAGAATGTAATGTATTCCCAGCATTATCGACTATACATGTTACAGATAATTATACTCAGACTAACAATAGCACCTGCGATCATAAAGAAGAGAATAATTGCCGGGTTATGAATGAACTTAAAGTCTTATCCCAACATCTACTTGATTATAACAGAAAGACTTTTGGAAAAATGATACAAGACATAGATAATGATTATAGAGAAAGGGTTAGTGCAAATAAGATATTACG